CGAGGTCTCTGCTCGCAGCTCCCCAAGAAGGGGCCAGGCAGCCCCATGGACAGATGTGCAAGGAGCTTCCCAGCTCACAGGGGACCCAGAACTGGGCGGCAGGGTGGGCCTTGGAGGAGGCAGTCGGGGGATGGGGGGCCGTGGGGGCCAGGCGGAGGAGGGGAAGGGAAGGATCCAGGAGCATACTTCCCAGGCGCCGGCACCTGCACCTCTCACATGCCCCATGCCTGCAGCTCAGCGCCTGCCCAGCGTCACACAGACGGGAAGGGGCAGGTCAGGGCTTGAGCCCACGCCTGCCTGGCCTGCAAGCCCAGGGCCCTGGCTTACGTCCTGCTGCAGGAGGTCCACCGCGGCCGTGATCTCCTGGGCTCTGGGCTGCCCATAGCTCTCGGTCAGCGTCCGGTTCAGGTGCTGCTTCAGCTCGTCACTCAGCTGGGAGGGGAGAGCAGAGGCCGCGTCAGCAGGGCGCCCCCACCCCGGCCCCGGCCTGGTGCCCAGGCTGCCCAACTGTGCCAGCGAGCTCTAGAGCACCCTGGACCGTGATGCATGACGACAGGGCGATGGGCCATCGGTGGGGGACAGCATGGGAGACGTCCATAGGGTGCTATGAAACGGGGCCCTGATGGGTCGAGGGCGGTGGGCAGAGCTGAGAGGCTGGGGAGGAGCCAGCTCCAGCGTCAGCCTCAGGTTGGGGCACGGTGCAGCTGGATACCGGGCACTTGTGAATGGATGTCAGCCTCATGCCAGAGGGCGTGTGCGCATGAGAGACAGAGAGGAAGAGCGCGCTCCCCACTGTGGGCCGGCCAGGCTGCACGCCGCCCGGGTCCTGGGTGGGCACTGTGGTTTACAACACCCAGGGGCCGGGAACCAGTCGCGAGTCAGTCATGTGGAGTCTGCCTTCCAGAGGGCTGGCTCTGTTCACCTCCATTCTGACGGAAACAAGGTGAGAGTCTAAATATTTCTGATCATTACCCTGTGGGCACCACGGGATGCCACTGGATGGCCATAGGGGCCCAGCTGTCTCCACAGCTGAAGTCTCCCTCTGTGACCTCCCTTCCCAGACACAGGGCCCAGGTGGGGCTGGTTCCTTTACGCTCAGCGTATCAGTCTGGCTGCAGACTTATCCCCAAGCCTTTCTCCTGGGCTGTCCAGACAGACAGGCCCCGTATCTACCCCTGGGAGGGCGAGCACGAACCGGCCTCCCCGGGAAACGCCTGCTCCCCAGCGCCTGTGTTGAGGACATCCGTGGGGCCACATGCAGCACCGAACTGCAGGAGCCGGGATGAAAAGCTGGAATCCAGTGTGCAGGGTCATCAGGCCTGGGAAGCTGGCCCCACCCGGGTGTTGGCTCCATCCTCCCCAGCACGGCACCCCCCACCCCGCGGCTTCTCCGGGGCTGACGGGGAATGTGGGGGGAGGGTGGCACTCACCCTCTGGTAATACACGTGGGCCAGGGACCCC